TATCTACCCCCATCATCTGAAACAACATAGATCAAATGAATGAATGAGTGAATGGACAGTCTTATCTAGTTCTCATCATGCACCTGGGGAAAAGGAATTGTAACTGAGCGGCCACCAAGCTTGCATGCTTGGTAGCTGACGTTGGGGGCCTTGCTTTGTCTATGACACATCTACATCTCTGTATTTAAGTCCAGCATGGGTAGAGGCCAGAACCATGGTGTCACAGGTGAGCACAGGCTTACAACATACGTATCCCTTTTACGTGCTAGTTCATCTTCCGAGTTCTTCACTTCTGATCCAGCTCCTTGCTTATGGCCTAGGAAGGCAATGGAAAATGGTTCTAGTCCACGAACCCCTGCATCCAAATAGGAAACTCCTATTTGGTTCCTGGTTCCTGGCTTCAGATCAGCTCAGCTTCAGCCATGGTAGCCATTAGGGGCGAGAATCAGTGTATGGAAGATATCTCTCTCTCCACCTCTTCTCTTTCTGTTTCTACCTTTCAAAAACTAAAATCAATCTTTAAAAACAAAAAGCTGATTCAGGTAAACCAAGAATGGACAGTGTGTAAAGGAAAAGCTGTACACGTCAGGAACATTTGACCTAACGAAGAGATTCTAGGAGCGAGCCTGCAAGAGTCCTGTGTATCCTGCTGGGGTTAGACTCCAAGGACGAATAGGCCGCAGAAATAAAGAAAGCTTGTGAATAAGACATTACTGAAGGAAGGCTGATATCACCAGAAATCCTAGAGACAGATTTTGATTTGGGCAAAAATTAAAAAGTTTTCTGTTCTGTCTAAGTTGTTCCTCCTGAGAGGCAGTGAGCTCCTCCTATTCAGTGGACTTTTTAAGGTACAAACAGCTAAGGGGAGGCAGCGAGGTGGTGGAGGATACTTCAGTGTCGGGGATGTGGTTGGCTAGATGGTTTGTGAGTTCCCTTCAAGGCTGAGGTTACCTGATTCCTGCAATTGTAATAGTGCTGAACAAGAGGAGACACTGCTAGCAGGGACGGACATAGTCTTACCCACACGGCAGGACCATCAAGGCAGCGAATGTCCATACCACTTTAGGTAATCCCACCCTTCGCCTGTTTCCATAGACTTCAAGATTTTACATTGGTTTCCGACACAGACTTTGTCGCAGGATGAAAATTGTTCCAATTAGCCAGCTGGATTATTCCAGTCAGTTGGCAGTGAGCTCGCTTAGGGACATTAATGAAGCCAGCACTCCTATTCATCAGCATTTTCTGAGTTTGGTTATCACAGATCAGCCTAATCAGGCTGGCACACATAATAAATTTGCCCTTCTGGCCTCAAGAGATGAGAAACATCTCAGAACCTCAGAACCATAAGTGTGCCTTCCACCTGCTTAAAATAGCTGCCTAAATGTCGCACATGCTGGATGGCAAGCTGGTACTTCATGTCAGTGTCTCCGTTCCCCTCCGTTTGTAATGATATTAATAATAAGAACCACAGCCGTGACAATGGAGAACATAATGTAACAAAATGAGCCATCAAGAATTGAGCTAATTGTGTTTTAATTTGATTGATTATTTGCTATCGACAATCAGGAACAAAAAGAGTAACATTCCCTTTTTACGCAGAAATTTGCCAAGTCCTCATGTTTCCAGGGGCTAGGAATGATGACATTTTATGTGGGAAATGTGCAGGTTTTTAGCAGTAAATTCCCAGGAAATTAGGAAAACATGAATTTATTTTTCCTTGAGGATACATAATTAAGCCTGCCCAAGCAAGCAGAACCTTGAAAGGCCTGGGTGCTGGGAGGCTGGCACAGCCTGCACACTACGGCTTGGGGGCCAGCAGGAGGAGCCCTGAACTTCCCGCAGATGAAATGCAGCTGCTATAGATCTGTCCTCCTGTGAAGACCTCCAGTGGCCCCCAACTTCTCTACTGTCACCCCAGTTCACACTCCATCCCCATGTCCACACCAGCGGGAAGGCTGGTTTCAGGGAGTTAGGTAAGGCACCAACCAGGAAACAGGTACCCAACAGCGACCTCGTGTGGTCATCAGGAGCAGCAGCAGCAGGGACATGCAAAGCCTGGAGCTTTAGAGCTTTACAACCAGGTACAAGTTTGTAATCTAGCAAAGGGGAAGAAAGCTAGGTAACTAATCGCCGACTTCCAGCCAGAAATGATACATCTGGAGCTAAACAGAAACAAAATACGTGACACTTCTTGAAGTATCGAATAACCCATGCCTGTAACAATTCTGTGGTTACTCCCAGTGTCTCCCTCTCTCCACACACACCACAACCATTTTCTGTATCCTAAACCTGTTGTCTCCCAAGTTCATAACAAGAAGGCCTTTCTGGAGTTTTGGCATATGTCTTAACTTGCCACCTTTCTGCTCCTACTAGATGTTAGCTCCATAAAGCAGGAATATTATCTCTCTACTTGCCGCAGTATCTGTGGCTTTTAAAACAGCATCTGTCGGGCCCATTGTGGTAGCCTAGCTGTTAAAGTCCCCACCTTGCACGCTCCAGAATCCCATATGGGCACCAGTTCTAATTCTGGTAGCCCTGATTCCCATCCAGCTCCCCACTTGTGGCCTGGGAAAGCAGTTAAGGACAGCCCAAAGTCTTGGGACCCTGCACCCGCGTGGGAGACCTGGAAGAAGTTTCTGGCTCCTGGCTTTGGATCGGTTCAGCTCCGGCTGTTGCAGCCACTTGGGGAGTGAATCATCGGATAAAAGATTTCCCTCTCTATCTCTCCTCCTCTCTGTTTATCTCACTTTCCAGTAAAAATTTAAAAATCTTTAAAAAAAATTAGTGTCAGTCACACACGAAGAGTTCAGTAAATAGATGCTGAATATATGAGATCCTTGGAATTTGTGGGGCAGAAACTTTGTTTCAGGCACTGTGTTAGGTCGCTTAACCCTTGAGCATCCCCTTAGGGGTCAGCTCCATAAACGAGGTAACCAGGAGTCCAGACTGGAGTACTGAGCTCCACTTACATTCACACTCCAGTCGTCCAGGGCACCATTTACATTCCCTGGAATATTTCCCCACGTTTCCTCCTTTGGGTTGAGTCATGTTCCCTCCCTCTTTGCTCTCAAATTAACTTGTATGTAACTATTAAGCACTTACCTCATTCGTTGTAATTATTGGTGTTTATGCTCTGCTTTAAACCTTGACCTTGAAGGCAAGAATTGCCTCACCTTGGTGTTTGCAAGACCTAAATAGTCTGGAACACAGTAGGGATTCAAAAACGTTTTGGCATGCCGGAGACTGAGTGGTGGGGAAGGTTATACTCCCCGTTTGGCTACTCCCTTCCCTCTTTCAAGGGGCTCTTGCTCTCCCGCTGCAGGAAGCTGTCCCCAGAGCCCTGTGCTACACCTGGCACAGTCTCCGGTGCCTTTGCAGAAAAGCTCAAGTGGATAGGGGTCAGGCAGGGGAGTAACCACAAGCGATCACGACCTGCAGTCAGCCCTTACAGGTGTGCAAATGGGCTCCGAGACAAGGAGGAGAAGCACCCAGCCTTGTAGCAGGTGCGCCTTGCTGAGTTTGACAGGGCAGCAGAATGACAACAGAGTAGTAATTCAGTGTGACTTGACGGCAGCATGAGAACTGGTGGAACTGTAGTCTTCCTATCACTATCAGTTATGATTGATGGTGAGTTATGCCTGTGCATGTAGAGTGGATTAAAATTATGTCTTTTTAGAAACTGATGAAGAGAGGTGAGGAAAAACAGTCTGGGGAGAGGAAGTAGGGGAACTGAATCTAAGGAATACATAAAATCTTCTTGGAATTGTACCTAATGAATGCATAAAGTCTGTTCTCTTTAATACTTCTTTTTTAAAAAGATAAAGCTATTAACACAGGAAGGACCAGCTGACAAAGGGCCTGGAAGATAAGCCTCATTCGGAAGGTGACGGGGAGACAGGGGAAGGTGAGTCAGAAGTGATCAGATTGGCAATGACCACACCAATTGGGGGAAAGTTGGGGCAGACGGGGCAGTAGCCAGAGACATGGAGAAAACCCAGCAAATCGCAAAGGCAAATCAAGGGGCAACTGTTTCCTTCTGGGAGGGCAGCGAGCGAGGCTGAGACAACAAAGGTTCCAAGGATTCCGTGCAAAGCACAGAGCCATTTCTGGTAGAGAAAACACGAAGTGGGAGGCACTGGTGAACCAGGCCTAGCAGGGCCTGCCACATAGCAGGTATTCAATAAAAAGCTGTTGGCTAAAAAAAGGAAGAAGACAGCTATCTTAGGGTACACTTCAATGGCAGCTCAAGACATTGACCTTGAGTGGTATGCCAATGGTGGGGGAAGCCAGGGAAGTCAGCTGGAGGGCCCGTTATGGTAGCCTAGCTGCTAAATTCCTTGCCTTGCACACGCCAGGATCCCATATGGGCACCAGTTCTGTGTCCCTGCAGCCCCACCTTCCCATCCGACTCCCCGCTTGTGGCCTGGAAAAGCAGTCAAGGATGACCCAAAGCCTTGGGACCCTGCACCCACATGGGAAACTCAGCGGAAGCTCTTGCTTCTTGGCTTCGATTCGGCTTAGTTCTGGCCTTCGCAGCTACCTGGGGAGTGAATCTGTCTGTTCTCTCTGTAAATCTGACTTTCCAACACAAATAAATAAATCTTTTTTTAAAAGAAAAATGTCAACTGGAAGGTAACCTGAGTGAAAAGAGGACTGAAAAAAAAAAAAGAACTCTGGAAAACTCAGCTTGTAGGAGGTGGCAGAGGAAGACGAGACTAACAGAAGAATCACGAGCTAAGGGTTAGCGGGCATCTGCAGCCGAAGACTGACTTGGATGCTGAGAAACTGCATGTGGGACCAGCAGCAAGTGGCCAACATCTATGCACTGTCGGAGGTTGGGAGTGAGGAGCAACCGACATCGAAGCCGCATTCCATGCTCCAACATCACCTTAATTCTTGCACTGCCTTCCCCAGCCCCACCTTCTTGCCAGCATCACAGAGCCTGGATTAGCCAAATTACTTTTATTGATAGTGAGCAGAAGCAGGAATAAGTGGCTGCTCCTTTCTTGGAGGACACAGGGTCCTGGGGTGAGAGAGGCAGTGAAGGAGGCCAGTGCGGCTGCGGGTACAGGATTCACTCCTTATTTGGGTATGAGTGCAGCATGTTAAAAGAATCTATTTTGCGCCAAGACACAGACACGGGGCGGGCAGGCAGCCCCAGCCATCAGGCCGCACTTTCGATTTGGAGCTGGGCCACTTCGGCAGCCCCAGGTCTCTCGGGCTCTCCCTCGGTGTCCTTCGGAGGTTCTGGCTCCGAAGCCGGCTCGAGCGCTGGCGCAGCTTCGGGCTGGCTTGCAGCACTGCGGCCAGGCGCGAGGCGGGGTGGCTTGACCGGCGTGGCTGCTGGCGCTGCAGGCCCTTTCCGACCCGAAAAGGCCCTTTTCAGGCTCTGTACCTTCTCCAACCCAGTGCGCCGAAGCCGCTGAGCCCGGGACTCCACCGGCTCCTCGTCCGAACTCTCGCCAACTTCGGCCTCTGGTTGCTCTGCGCCCGGCTCGGACTGGTCGGCCAGGGCCAAGGGCTCTGGCGCCTTCTGGAAGGCACTGGCTGGGATTTCAGCCTCCTCCTGCGGGTGACAGATATAACATTGACCCTGGCAGTGCCTGCCCCTGATCAGTCTAAGACACCCTTAACTGTGCGAGAATACCCCGCCCTACCCTTTACCCCGGCAGTCCGAGGGGGGAAGGAAAGGGGTGGAGAGTGGGGGACAGGCAAGGGGAGGAGCCACGGGAGAAAAGCTGCGCGTGAAACGCCCGGGTTTGTAAAGCAGCTGAGAGTCAGCCAGAGGCGTGAATCCCGCAGAGTGGCCTCGTGGGCGCAAACTGGAGCGGGCGGAGAATGACAAGGGGCGCACTTCCAGCCCTTGATGGGCTGGACTGGGACCACATTCTGTGAACATTCCTGAGCGCACCTTCAAGGCTGGGCTGGGCTTGGGCGTGGGAGAGAGGGCTGGAACTTGGTTGTGGGAAATGGGTGCGACTTTGGAAAATCTGTGCCGCAGCAGCGCGCGTGCCGGCCCATGAACGTGGGTGGGGTAGGCAGACGGGAGCGGGTGGTTTCCCCAGATTGGTGGCCCGGAGGCGAGGCAAGGCCCCGGATTGGGGGACGCCTGAGGGCACTGACCTTGAAGAGCAGAACGTGGAGCTTCCCGCGCGCCACCAGCAGCCCGTGGTTGGCCTCCAGCCGCTGCACCTGGGCGGCGCGGCGCACCGCGCGCTCCTGGGCGGCGTCGGCGTGCGAGCCCACGCGCTCCGCCTTGGCCAGCAGCTGCGCCAGCGTGTTGCTGGTAGTGTCGTGGCTGCGACTCAGCGCGCCCAGGCCGCTCTGGATGCGGCGCACCGAGCCTGCCAGGCCGCCCTGTCGCTGAGCCAGGCCACCCTGCCGCTCCCGCAGGGACTCCAGCATGGTGGCCAGCTTCTCCAGCAGGGTCACCACCGTCACGGCATGCACGGGACCCTTCCCCGGCTCCCCGGGCACAGGCCCGGCCTCCAGTGCGCTCTCACCCATGGTTCCCCGACCGCCCTGCCTGCTCTCCCTGCGGCTGCCGGCTGCGCTCTGGGCTGGGGCCGCCTTTCCCCGGCTCCTCCCCGGCTCCAGCCGTGACTCAGACAGGAGGAGTTGGCCTGGGAGGGCGGGGGGCGGGATGTAGGCAGCGGGGTCCTTTGGACGAGCCCCGAGCTGCCGCCCCGCCCCAGGACCCGCGGGGAAGCAAGTTGGCTCAGAATCGGCCCCCCACAGATCCTCTGGCTGAGTCGGAGTTTCCCTCCCCTCCTCAATTCCCTAGTGTGCCTTTTTCTGGAATGTACCCTTCCCACGGCAATGGACGAGTCACGGAAAATGTTATTTATTGCATGAAGTAGGCAGAGAAACTATGTGTTAGCTCGGCAAAGGGATAACTCCAGAATGGCTGCCGCCTGCCCTCTGCCTCCCACTTCGCTGAAGGTTGTGTTTGCGCAGCTCCCGGGCTGGGCGCGGTGGAGGCCCTGGAATGTTCCTCTGCAGACTGAGAACTCTCTAGCCTGAGGCCGTGCCAAGTGAGCGGGTAGAGCCGGGCGGGGCATCCGCTGGTGTGTGAACAGTCGCTGTTTGGGTTTAACCACCGACGGCTTTGTTCCTTGCTTCTCTGTTACTTCCTGCTGGGAAGCAATGTTCTATTTAATTCTCTGCTTTTGGGATTTCAGGGATAAAGCTCTACAAGTACCTACCTGCTTCCCGCCCCCTCACCACTCCCACCCCCGCTCACCACCCCCACCCACCCCTACCCCCACCACACACACACACACACACACTTGGAAGACAAACAGGAAAGCTCCTCCTTTGAAGGCGTTGAAGGGTTAGAGTACATCAGCTGTGCCTGGCTTGATGGAGGTTGGCTGTGGCCCCTGTCTGCTGGTCCTCTTCCAGCTCTCCCCGGACGAGGGCTTACAAGCCTAGCACCTCCTGAGAGTGAGGGCAAGTGCTGCCATCCTCCTAGGAGTGGAGTTGATAACGTGCGTACCGGGTGAGTTGGTATTGTTGGCAGTTTAGAAAATTGTATGCTTTGTCTAGCAACACTCAGCAAGCTGACCGGAGTCTCCAAGCAATCCACTGATCCTGAAATCTCCCACGACCCAACCTGTGCAGGACTCTTGACTCTGAAGAACCCTGTGTCATGAAGGGGAACAGCAGAAGCCTCTAAGATCCCAAGGTCGAATTACAGCAGAGAATGGGCGACTAATGCCAGAAATCTGTCAGTGCTGAGATTATAATGCAGCATCACAGAGCCTGCTCCCTCCTAACACGAGGGAAAATGAATGCACTTGGAAATGTGCTGTAAACCACCATCTCTTCCAGAGAGACCAGGCAAGGATGTACCAGTTAAAATGGTTTCAGTCTGAGCCAGCAACACGAACTCGGGCTGTTCTCAATAACAGGAAGTCCAATTCACGCGTTTGGGAAGGACTGTGGTAGAGTGATGATTAAGTGTGTGTCAGTCACAGCTCCAGTTTGGCGTCCTTCTCTCAGTTATGTCCCCCAGCATCACCCACCACGGAGTCAGCTTAACACTCCTTCTCCAAGCTGAAGCCAGGAATCAGAAGCTTTCTTGGGCTCTCCCACATGGATGCAGGGGCCCAAGCGCTTGGGCCATCCTCTGCTGCTTTCTTAGGCACATTAGCAGGGAGCTGACCAGTGTCCATGTGGAATGCCAGTGTCCCGGGTAGCAGTGGTGTTACCCACTATGCCACAATGCCAGTCATAGATAGGTATTTTTAAAAGACCTGCTAAATTCCTCTATGGTTGTTTTAGAATAAGCAAGACCTTAAAACTTAGCAATAAAGCAAATCATGGTTTTACTAGCAATGTTACCAAAACTTCAAGAATAAGAACTGAGAAATACTGAGAAATAAAAGCCCATGAGGTAGGTAGAAATAACATGGGCCTCCCAGAAATTTTTCAGAGTCAACAAAGAATTCTTCAAATTTCAAGTCAGCAAAGCCCAGATAGAAATTGAAGTAATGAGACCTTTGGCCATGAAGTTACAAGGAAGAACCATATTGCAGTTTCCAGTGAAGGTGAAAAAAAGATGAAAACAAAGATACAAAATACCTTCTATTTAAAAAATCAACTTAGACATTTCATTTCTAAGGAGTTTATTTGAACAAAGAGTGATTCATGAATTGGGCAACACACAAGACTGCAAGACATTCAGACAGCCCTGCTACAGCAGCTTTTGTCAGCTCAGGGTGGAAAAACCATGAACCAAAAGAAAAACCTCTTTCCTTTGCAAAGTTAGTCACTTCAGGCATTTCATTACAGTTACAAAAAAGCTGACTAGTGTGACATATCTTTGGGAGGCCATACTAAGTACAAAAATATTGTGATGTTGACAATGATTAATCAATGGATGTATTTATAGATAGCCTTGATGTACAATGGAGTTATAGCCTAATAAACCCATTGTAAGTTAAAAATATTATAATACAAAATGCATTTAACATACCTAGCCTACTGAGTATCATAGCTTAGCAACACAGGACACTTCAGAGTCAGTTGTTTAGCCTCACAATTGTGTGACTGAGAGAGCAGCGTGCACTGCCCATGCCCAGCATTGCTAGAAGCCATCTTTCTGTATATGACCATGCTGGGAAAAGGTCAAAACTCACAGTATGATTCCTAGTAAAAGTATATTTCTTTTGTAGTATCTTAGGATCTAAAAATTCTAAGTCAAGCCAGGCAGTGTCTTACATAGTATAATCTGCAGCTCTGTTTTCTTTCTTCTTTTCTTAGTGATCAAATCTTGCTGAGGCAAAAGTGGTAGAGACACTGCACTCTGTACATCCTACCGAGGGGATCTGTGTGTGCCCTGAGGTCTAAAGACCAGTCTTAAGGGAGTCAGCAGATTGAGCTCACCTAAAAGAGCAAGCAGCACTTAAGCCCATGAAATACATGTAGCATCTCCCCCTGCAACAAAGAGCAACGCTTAATGAGTGCACTTCGGAGTCACAATATGCTCACCTTGGAATTCTTCAAGGTGGGCAACTTTATTATCAACTTCTAACCCATCCCCACAAGCAAGAAACAGGTTCCATCTTTACTCGTTTGTCTCTCTGCCTTGCTTACACTGACTTGACTTCCCCTTCACAGGATGTGGGGGACACCCCAGCATCTCTCACCTCTCTCCCCAGAATTCTACAGAGAGACGCAGTGTAGAGGGAAGGAGTGAGAGAAGTGCAGGTGCATGAATGGCATCTGTAAGGGCCTGGGTTTCATCCCCCACACTCAGGCAATGGGGGGTAAGCTGAAGCCCCAGGTGGCTGTGGATATCAAATCTCTCCCACGGCCATGGACACAGCCATGGTGATTCTCAGCCATGCCATTTCACCTTAGAGTTTGGTGGGTTTTTTTAAGCTTTATTTATTTTTATTAGACAGGCAGATCCGCAGAGAAGAGGAAAGACAGATCTTCCATCCACTGGTTCACTCCACAAAAGGCTACAATAACTGGAGTGATCCAATGTGATCCAAAGCCAGGAGCCAGGAGCTTCTTCTGGGGCACCCACAGGGATACAACACCTTGGAATTCTTAAACACTCTGTATTGTGGGTCAAGGAAGCTATATGCTTTGAATAAGGTTGAAAAGAGTTTCAGTAAGTGTAGCTCAGTTATACAATCCAATCAGATCCACCTGAAGAAACAAAAGTGTGACAGCTTTCCTGTCCGTTGTAAGGGTTCTATCTGACACTGCTATCACAAGACAGATTAACAACAGAAAGGCAGAACAGATTCATTTAATTAGAATTTTATAGGCCCTAGTACACTTCAAAATTAAGACACTAAAATTTAGTCTATTTCAGGTTTAGACATGATGAAGGACAGTCATGTAGAAATGCAGTTGGCAAAAGGGTATGGCCCAGCGCTAACAGACTGAGCAACAAACCCAGACAGTCCAGTCCAGGTCTCTGGATCTCTCTGTGCAGTGCTCTCTCCCCCTGGGTAAGGGGGCGTAATTTCTCTGAAATGAGGATCTTCAAGGGAGAGGGAAAGAGAGTGACCGTTTAGGTGTTATAGCTTGTTTAGCAGGGAGAGGGATTCTAATCTCCACAATTTACCTGTTTTCCCCACATTGCTGAGGAGGAAGAAAGGGAAGAGAGAGACAGAAGGATAGGAGCGAGCCAAGAAGACATTGCTCTGAGATCTTGCTGTCCCTCTGAGTCCAGAATACTCAATATGTCAAAAACCAAACTTTGAAACATGATTTTCTGAGTCCAGATGTACCCGTTGGGCCTTCGAAGTTGGGAGGCCTGAAGTCTCTGTAAATTTTACCTTTCCCACCAAGACGGTGATAAGGAGATAGCTCCTGTAAGGAAAATAAAGAAAAAGTATTAAGCATTAAATTTTTCAGTTTTATTTTATTTGAAAGGAAGAGACTAGGCTCCCATCTGTTGGGTTGCTTTCCAAATGCCTGCAGATGCTCAGACTGGGCCAGACTGGAGCTGGAAGCGGGGAGCTCAATCACGCCTCCCAAGTGGGAGCCAGGGGCCCAGGTCCTTACCTTAGCCCTGCTGCTCCCCAGTAGCTGCAATAGTGAGAAACTGGAGTCCGGAGCTAGAGCCAAGAATGGAAGCCAGGCGGCCCAGTATGTGATGCCAACATCTTAGCTGCTAGGCCAAATGCCCAACCTGAGGATATTTAACTAAAGGCAATGCTTTTAGCAGCTGAAAATTATACTGCTTTTCAAAGACAATTGCTGCCTTATTGCTGGATACAAGTAGAAAGATTCTCTAGAGATTTCTGGACTGTTTACGCATTGGAACTCATTGTCTCATAAATAGCCTAACAGTCTGTGATTATTAATGGCGAAAAAAATCTGAAAAACAATGAGCCATCTATGTGTACTGATGGTACAAAAAACATCCCCGACCCCGACCCTCGCTTTCAGCTTCCCAAAAACTGAGGCATCCTTCAAAAACTTAACCTTTGAATCAAAATTAACAGCCTGAGGCACAGACAGAGCAGCAGTTAAACAGGGACTGGGCCTCAGCGGCCAGACACG